GGGTAGGGTGGGGTACTCTTTGTTCTTCGGAGGGCGGGGTTGGGAGGAGCAGGAGGAGGAGCAGGAGGAGGAGGGCGAGCGCAAAGGCCAGGGGCCTCGTGGATGCCTCTGGGAGTCTCTCCGGAAGTCTCTTGAGAGCTTCTTGGAATGCTCGTTGGGCGTCTTGTGGGCCTCTCGGCGGTCCTGGAGGCCTCTTGGAGCGTCTTGGGTGCATCGGGGAAGCCTCTTGAGGCCTCTCGGGGGTCTCTTGGGAGCTTCTCGGGGACCTCCTGGGGGCCTCTTCCGACCTCCTGGGCGCCTCTTGGGGCACTCTTGTGAGCCTGGGGGGCCATCTCGGAGCCATCTGGGAGGATATCGATCAAAGAAGGGGTGGGCTTGAATTAGCCTCGCCCCCCAAGGAGGCCAACATTGGCCCAACGCCGAAGTCAAATCAATGATTTGCGCCTTCTCGCTGAGGCCTTCTTGGACGCTCCAATGGGTCGCGGCCCACCCACCCCTCCAGACCCATGGGGAGGAAGGGGGGTAAACCCCTTCCCGACAGGAAGAAAGGAGGTTGAACGAGGAAACGCGCTAAATCACTCACGCCCGAAGGCTGGTGGGATTCGTCTGGGCGTGTCCTGGCTTAGCGCATCGCGACGGTGTCGTCACCCGCTGGAGGAAAACATGTTCATGTGTGCATATACATGTCTATGTTTCTTCCTGACCTATAACCGCATGGCTGTTCCCTGCCCTGCGAACGGCTATGCTCGCATCGCGTTGGGACCTTCAGCGTTTTGCCGCGCCTCCACAAAGGTGGATTATCGTCTTGCCGCTGCACGATGCTGATGCTGCCGCCGGCTGGACCTCACTGGCGCGTCCGAGGAAAAACGTGTGTGCACGGTTCATGTCGCACGATCCTCCTGCCCTGGCATGCGGCAAGCGGGCCCCGAGGGCAACAGGTCCTGGACCTCGGGGCCATCCCCCAGGACCACACCTTCTCGTCCTGCGCCGTGTTCGTACAGACCCATTATTGAGCAGGGACAGACCGTCCGGCATTGTTTTAGGCCTACCACGACATGTTCTAATAACCAGAAAAGACGGTTCTTCGAGCATAAGCACGATGTGCTAAAACAGGGCAGTCTCAGCCAGACACGTTCTAATAATAGCAATGATAATACTTCGTGCAAGCCACAGAAGGTTCTCAGAGCATTCTTTGGTGGGCCAATAAGCGAGCCAGGACGATTCGCCACTGCTCGACATCAGGACGAACGGCGCAAAACCCGTTTTCCTTAGGACCCGCTCGCTTCAGGCCGACTCCTGCTCACGGGGCGCTCCTCTTCGGCGCGGGCACCACTTCGCCGGCGCCGCCCGCCGCTGCGCTGGGGCTCGGGGCCGCCGCTGCGGCGCCTGCAGCGCTCGACGTTGTCGTCGTCTTCGTCTTCGTCGTCGTCGTCGTTGTCGTCGTCGTCATCGTCGTCGTCGCTGGTGGGAGGCGTCGGGGGAAGGAGGAGGACGAGGAGGACGAGGAGGAGAAAGATGGATGAGGAAGAGGGAGGAGGGAGGAGGCGGAGGGAGGGAGGAAGGAGGACGGAGGAAGGAGGCGAAAGGAAGGAGGAGGAGCAGACGGGCTTTCGATTTCGGACCTGACCCGTCCAGCTCGAAGCGGTCCGGCGCCAACGGCGAGGAGCGCGAGGCGAGCGAGGCGGCGTGCACGCGCGCTCGCCTCCGCACCACCACCCGCGGCCCAGTCCCTGCCCCGAGGCGTTAGCGGGACCTCCACCGGCGGCTGCGGGGCACGGGGGGCCGTCCTGGCAGTGATGCGTACCAGTTGGTATCTAGCGTGTGACGGCCTTATTCGATGATCCTCAGAACGTGTGTGAGCGCCAACGGGTGTTTGCCCGCTGAGGCCCTTCACTGCGACGAAGGCGGTGTGATAACCGACTGGTTGGGCTGGACGGGGTAACACACACATTGGGCTAACACCACGTCCTGAGGATCATGGACTTGTGCAGCTGCGCAGACCGCAGCGCCCTCGGCAGGTAAGAACACGCACACGCGCACCGCACGTGGGCACTGAACGCTTGATATGGCAGGCCCAGAGGTTGACACCAACACCAAAATCGGCGGTGTGCCTCCACCAAGGGGAGATGATCCCGATCTCGGTGATGGTGGTAATGTTCTGGCATCCCAGGCGGCCGAAAGATTGCCACCAACGCCGAAATCTATGATCACTAGAACCACGCGCGCGCTTCGCGCGCGCTTAGGTTCTAGCTAGGAGGCGAGCTTGAGTCAACGAAAGTCGCAGGGAAGGGGGCAGGGGGAAGAAGGCCAGAGAGCGCTGAAGGATACAAATGCTGAAACCCTCTTGTGATTTTGTGGGGGGCCTCGTCCGGCCGCTCGCTGGGAGTTTGACGTAGCTTCTCGGGAGCCTCTGAACCTGTCGGGGGCCTCCTGGAAGCAAGTTCGAAGCATTTTTGGGGCCGATTTGGGGCTTCTCGGGGCCTCCTTTGGGCCTCTTGGGGGTCTCCTGGGGCCTCTTGAGGGGCCTCCTTGGGGCCTCCTGGCGGCCTCTTGGGGCGGAAGGCTCGAGCTTGCGGTTCGTGGTCCCCCTCTGGGCCCCCTCTTGGGCCCGTCTTGGGGCCCTCTTGGGCCATCTTGGGCGCCTCTTGGGCCGTCTTGGGGCCCTCTTGGGCTGTCCTGGGGCCCTCTTGGAAGCTTCTTGGGCCGTCTTGGGGCGGTCTTGGAGGCCTCTTGGGCCGTCTTGGACGCGGTGAAAGCCCAAGATGCGAACATGCGAAAAATATACGTTTTCCCATAGGAATGGCACGATTTTTGTTTCTTGGACCTCTCTTGGGGTGCCTCTCGGAACGTCTTGGGCTGATTTTGGAAGCCTTTTGGCGCCTCTGGGCGGCGTTTTGGCGCCTCCTGGGATATGTTGGGCCGGAAGCTCGGAATTCGAGAGTGGCTTTCTCCTTCTGGGACCCCTCTCGAAGTCGTCTTGGGGTTCTCTTGGGCCGTCTTGGGGCCGTCCTGAGCCACTCGTGCGCAGCCTTGGAGCGCTCCCGGAGGCCTCCTAGGCCGTATTGGAGGCCTGTTGGGCCGTCTTGGACGCGGTGAAAGCCCAAGAGGCGAACATGCGAAAAATATACGCTTTCCCATAGGAATGGCACGATTTTTGTTTCTTGGACCTCTCTTGGGGTGCCTCTCGGAACGTCTTGGGGTGCTTTTGGGAGCCTTTTGGCGCCTCTTGGCGGCATTTTGGCGCCTCCTGGAGCCTCTTGGGCCGGAAGCTCGGAATTCGAGGTTGGCTTTCTCCGTCTGGGACCCCTCTCGAACTCGTCTTGGGGCTCTCTTCGGCCGTCTTGGGGCCGTCCTGGGACACTCGTGCGCAGCCTCGGAGCGCTCCCGGAGGCCTCGTAGACCGTCTTGGGCGCCTCTTGGGCCGTCTTGGACGCGGTGAAAACCCAAGAGGCGAACATGCGAAACATATACGTTTTCCCATAGGAATGACACGATTTTTGCTTATTGGGCCTCTCTTGGGCTGCCTCTCGGAGCGTCTTGGAGGCTTCTGGGACCTTCTTGGTGTCATGACAGGCGTCTTGGAAGGCATCTGGAGCCATCGGAGCGCGTTTCGAAGCCGCCTGCGAACGATCTTGGACGGCGTCCGGCGGTCCGACGAGCCTCCGGGCCCCCCGGAGCCCACATTTGTGGTCGGGGTCCCGGCCCCGGGCCCCCGGACCCGGTGCGCCGTTATATGTATATCCTCCCCCCGTGGGCGCACCCCCCTGTTGTGGTGTTGGTGCAAATTGCGAAGCCTCCAATGATAGGGGCACAGAAAGTCGCCTCGCCACCTGCTGCGGGCCAAACCCTGCATGGCCGACGGCGCCCGCCGCAGCTGGTGCAAGGCCTGGCCCGTGCCGAGACGCCGTACTCTGGCAGGGCCAGGTCCTGCTCCCGCCCAAAGAGGGGGCCCGCGGTCAGGCCGAGCAGCGGCAGCGAGAGGACGATGACGATGACGATGACGATGCTGATGGCGATGATGATGCTGCTGAGGATGATGATAATGATGATGATGATGATGATGATGATGATGATGATGATGATGATGATGATGATGATGATGATGATGATGATGATGATGATGATGAAGGTGATGATGATGCTGATGAAGGTGATGATGATGCTGATGATGCTGATGATGATGATGAAGATGAAGGTGATGATGATGCTGATGATGATAATGATGATGATGGTGAAGCTGATGATGATGATGATGATAATGATAATGATAATGATGATGATGATGATGATGATGATGATGATGATGATGATGATGATGATGATGATGATGATGATGATGATGATGATGGTGGTGAGGATGATGTTCCCGAGTGGCGACGTCAGGGTCGCGAGCGGGCAACCTTCCAGGATGGACAGAACCCCCTTTAGTAAAACGTGGTTTCTGAAAACGGCCTCAGGTCCAGACCTGGCGGGCGCAGGCCTGGAAAATGGCGGCCGCGGCGCCCTCTCGAGAACCGCAGACGGACAATGCACGAGTCGACGTGTCAGGGTGGGGTTTCTGTCCACCCCCGAAACCTCTCCCGCCTCTTGGTCAACAGTCGGAGCCCCAGCGCCCTGGACAAGCGAGGCTTCGGGAGAACCAGGACGCGCAGGATCATGACGCCGTCCGGTCAGCACCACGCTGATGGGCATTCCGTAGATAGGGCCCCTGCTTAATGCAGGGAAGGAGCACTTTCCTGCCACGTTCCTGCGCCATGCCGCGCGAAAGCGGCGCTTTACTACCACTCTCCTGCCACCGTCCTACGCGCTGCAGAAGTACCCATTACTAGATACCCGGTGGGCTGGCGGCTCTGATCCCTCACCATGGCGACTCAGCCATGCCACCTACTTTCAACTCGGCGGGCGCGCGCGCGCGGCGAAGCGCCGAGGAGGAGGAGGAGGAAGAGGAGGAGGAAGAGGAGGAGGAGGATGAGGAGGGGGAGGAGGGGGAGGAGGACTGCCTTTTCTCCACGGGCGCTTGCATCCAGTGCAGAGCTGAGGATGGATGGAGGCGGGATGGAGGAGGCACAGCTGAAACCATCTGGGATCCAAGAGTACAAGGGGAGGCCTTACGAAAAACCGATCGATCTCAAGGCCGTCGCGTGTGCAGTCGCCTGACAAGCTGCTCCCCAGCGGGCGCCGGAAGCGAGATGCGGGCGGACTCCTCAGATCCTGTCGGCCGGCACCGGGCAAGTCGCTCGGGCAGCTGCCGGAGAGTGGCGCACCGGCGGCTGGGGGCGGAACGAGCGAAGCAGGCGCGTTGCAGACCCCATGGATGGCGTCCACGCTGCCCGGACCTCCCCAGACCCCTGCCCTCACAGCGTGGGTCCCAGAGGTCTCGGCCCCCTTGTGCGAGGCCAGCGCTCCATCCCGGATCGACTTCTGTGAAGGCCCTGGGGCCTGGCCAAGGCCCCCGAGGACCGAACGAACATGATCGCAAGCCTTCGGTCGTTCTGTCTTCACGACGCGAGGGGGTCTGCGGATGGGGTCCGCACTACCCCACCACCTGGGGGCGGGCAGAGCCAGCGCTCGAGGGGGTGGGCAGCTCAGCACTTCCAGATGGCGTTCAGCTCTGGGCTCAGCGCCCTGCGCATCTTCTCGGTGACCTGCTTCGCGGCCTCTGCGCTGAGCTGCTTGTCGTACATGCAGCTGCCCCCCTCGCGCACCATGCCCGAGACGGCGCCCTTCTGGGCGATCCTCGGCATCTCCTTCATCGCGCTGAAGGTCGTGCGCTCGGAGATCAACCTCACCTGCCTCCTGCTCACGGGCACCTCGAAGAGCCTGGCGAGCTGCCGGATGGCGCCCCTCTCGTCCGACTTCATGTCCTCGTAGTACAGGGTCATCACCCTCTCCGGGGCCAGCTTGTGGAGCGCGTCAAAGAAGCGGTGGCGGAGGTTGATCCACTGGGCGACCCTGTTAATCCTGACGAGGGTGTGGCCGCTCGCATCGGGGCAGTCCTTGACCGAATGGTAACACATGGAGATGGCGACGTCGCGGGGATCACGGAACACGGCCAGCCACTTCGCGCCCTGTGCAGCTCCCTCCAGCGTAGACTTCGCGGCCGCCTCGACGTCGGCGTCCGTCATGTTCGGAGCGATGGTGAAATCGAGGCTATTAAAGTGCCCCACGTTGGGGACCCTGTGCTTATCTTTGACGTCGTACCTGAGCAGCCCAGACGTTCTGTGCGCGCTGACGGCTGTGGCAGTGGTCCTCTGCCCCATGGTCCTGTGAGAAGTGCCGAGAGAGGTCACGGCTACCAAGAAACTGAAAACACACACATATGGCGGATTTCGGAAACCCTGAATCCAAAAACGTGTTGTACTTCCGACGCCTTCCGCTGGCCTTCCGACGGCTTCCGCTGGCGGAAGCGGCCTCGTATTACTTCCGCCGACCTTCCGCGCCTTCCGCGGCGGAAGAGATGACAATCCCTTCGATCCTCGAAGGCAATGCCTTTTTTGGGAACGCCTCACATGGCTGGGTTTGACTACCTACCAGACCACCCCAACCCAACCCGAAGACCTGAATCTGGCCCGAACTTCGGGTTGGGGGGGGGGGGACGGGCGTCATATGTGCTTTTTCATTGTTCCCGCCCCCCCCCCAACCGGAAAATGGAGGGCACATCGGGGCCTTCGGGTTGGGTTGGGAGTGGTTCGGTGGGCGGTCAGTTCACGTGTGGAACATCTTGAAGAGGCCCTGGGACACACACACACACACACACACCTTAATAAACACAAATAACTGGATTCCCTATATTCATGCCATTTTTTCTGGGTTGTTGGTTTCCCCCCACTTTCCATATTTTCCCATATTTTCCTGGGAGTCGACGATTCATTGTGTCTGTGTGTTTTTCCCCTCCAGACACCTGGAGGCCGCACACTGGACAGACGTGCGAAGGGCTGGCGGACACTGCCGCAGAAGGGCCGAAGGCTGGCACACCGCATGTGGCGCCAGGTGCCCCCCCCGGCTTCCGCCGGGCCAGCCGCGCCATGTGCGCGCAGCTGCCCGGTACAGTCGGACCCGATTGGACAGGACACGCGGAGAGGGCACAAGACCCCTCCGCGGGCCACATCGCCACGGGAATGTAGGAAGCGTGGGTCGCGATACGCAGGACACGAGGGTACCCTTGACTTGGCAGGGTCGACCTACTAATCCCGGCCGACTGTAATTCGTAGCGAGGAACACAGGACTGCAGTTGCACAGACTTCGGAGGCCCGCCCGGGCTTCTCGGATCGGCGCGCCCCCCCCCCCCCTGGAGGCACCTCCGACGCCTCCCCTCGCACGCTGCGCGCACGCCGGGGAGGGAGGACCGGCACCTGTGTCAGACATGGGTGCGGACCTCCGAAAATTCATGACTGTGTGATGTTTGTTCTTCTTTGAGCTGGGGTTAAGTCGGGCCTGTCCCCCTACAGGGTGATTTTGAACGAAGAATTTAAAATTGTCAGACAATATCCTAGAATACTCGAAAATGGTCAAACAATCGTCCCCAGACTATTTTTTTATTATTTTTGAATGTTCCCCCTGTAGAGGGACAGGCCCGACTTAAAGCTAGGGTGTCGCCACCTCATCCCGAGAGGGGGGAGGAGAGCCCCCTGGTCTCCTCCAGAACCACCGTCTTGCGCCCCAGCATTAAGTCGGGCCTGTCCACCTACAGGGGGATTTTCGACGAAAAATAAACAAATACCCCAAACAACTATTCCAAAATGCTCCAAAAAATATCTAAAAATGGTCCCCAGGCTATTTTTTGACTACTTTGGAATATTCCTCCTGTATAGTGACAGGCCCGACTTAACCCCAGCAGCGTCCCGAACTCTCCTCGCTCTCCGACTCCCTCTCCTCCTCGATCCTCGAACCTCAGGAGGCGGTGACGGCCTGCCTGGGGGAGTGGCCTGGCCTTCTCAGGACGCCACTCGGGCGTCTTTGGGGGTGCTCGGACCCAGACACGATCGCGTCGTAAAGACATCAGGACGGGAAGTGTGTGGCCATTTTCGGCTCCGGGGGGGCCCTCGCCGGACCTCGGGACCGTCAAAAAATAACTCAGAACGAAAAACTGGTCCCGGGGAAAGGGTCGGGACTTCCAGGGACGCCGT